AAAAATTAATTTGTAATTCATAAACTAACGGTAGGACCAGAAAATTTAAGGGTATAGACTGCGCGAAATGTGCAACACAATGGATCCCGTTTGTGTGACGTCACTCTTAGACACTGTACTTGGTATCATTCAATAGCTCTCTTTAATTGTCGATTTGATGTGCCTTGGACTGTAGAAAACAAGCAAGTGTAGCCTATTTTTTAGTGTGTTCAGTGCCAATAGCATCACTAGGCAAAATGATAGACAAAACTACTGTTGAAGACACTGAAAGAGAAATAATCCAATGGCCGCCGCATCGTATCTAGGAAACTGACAAAGCAATTCTTATTGCTAGTAGCCTATTTGGTGGTCAAGAAGACTACATAGTATCGTTGTCCTTAGGAGCATCACAAGCGATAGCTTTACCAATTAGAGTGAGGGGTCAGGAACAATGTTGTGAGTTCTTCTAGTTCTTTTTCTGCTTCCTTCTCTTTCATCCATACTACTACCAGAATCAGCATCAACAGCTACTAACAAGCCTGGAGGTAAGGGAGGTTGTGCAGCAAATTGCTGCTGGTGAGCTAGTCTGTTGCAACGATTCTCCTCTTGGATCTGATCCACAAGCCGACACTGCAGTTCTTGTTGCTGCTTTTGCTGCTGTTGCTCCTCCTCCTATTGCTGCTTTTGCTCATCGATTATTCTACCACTTGGTTCCTTACCTAGAGCAGCTTTTCTACCACCAACACAAATGCGACTGCTCCTTTGCTTCTTGTTGGGCATCTCTGCTTGAGAAATTATCTGAAGCACTTTGATGATTCCACCGGGAGGGCGCTCCTCTCCGATATCTAGATCATCCTCACTAACAACAACTTCAACAACCTCTACATCAACAGATTCCTCATCGACAACCATTGGTGTATCAAACTCAATGGTAAAAGAATCTTCAATGGTCTTCTTGTTCTCCCCACTTTCATCCTTCTTGTAGAGCTTCTGGAGGTATCTTCTCATGGTCTTGAAGACGCTGTGGTCCTTACCAAACTGATGCTTTTGTCCCCTCTGGATAGCAACATGTCTGGAATCTTGCTTGAACCATCTAGGCCACCGGATAGTGAGAAGAAGAGTGTGAGGATCAAGCCATTCAGGAACAATTAAGTCTGCATAAATTGCATTTTGCATGATGATTCTAATCATCGTGTAGACACTATCCTCATAGTCTTCATCAGATGAGTTGTCACTGTCTCCAGTGTATTGGTTTTTGCAAGTTCCAATGATAGTAGGATAGGCACTGCCTTCAACTCTCACAAGACTGGTGCAGCCCTCAAGACTGAGCTTGTTTGCAGCCTTGGTAAGCTCCTCCATTGACATCTTCATGGCCAGTGTGGTTACAACTGGTGGTGGTGCCTTCTTTCTTGATACAGAGGACGAGGAGCATGGTGCACTGATAGGCATGTCCTCTTGTCTTTGTCTCTTGGGGGGTGGTGAGGAGAGGAGCTCTGGTGAAAAGAGGACCTGCTTGCTCTTCTTGGTACTAGTAGTAGAGGACCTTCTTGTTGGTGGTGGAGAGGAAAACAAAGCAGCACCAGCAGCTAAGCAGCGCAGCTGGATTACACTGGGTTATCACGGGGACAAGCAAAAAAGAGGGGAGCATTGCTTATGAGGACCGGCCCATGATTGATTGAGTGAGCTTTGGTGGGACCAAGGACTGGTCTGCGCGTGCTTCGAAAATGATATTCTGTCACTATAGCCAATACTAGCTAGTACTACTAGATAAGAAAATTAATTAGTAACTTGATTAATAAAGTTAATTGACTTGATTAATAAAGTTAAAGTTAATTAATAGTGATATTGGTCTTCCCCCAAAGACACAATTTCCTACTATACCCCAAAAACAAAAGAGTGTTCCTCTGGTTGGAGTTTCCCAGAGTGCCCGGCGCGTGAGGTCTCTTTCAACAGCCAATCCCCTGAGTATATTAAAAAACGCACAATCGGGGGCTCTCCAGTAATGCTTGACAAAGTCAAATTACAAAGTACTGTAATATACTACTATTTCTATCCTGTGTCTTGCCCTGTATTCTTTTCACCCTTGCACAAACACACACTTGGTTTTTGCAACATAAAAACTTTTTGCGTTAGCGAGCCAATTTCATGCTCTCCCTTGTGTTGAGTTTTTCATTCCAGGGTACCAGTTTGGGTTCGAAATAAGACATGGCAGCTTTTTAACAGTAGGGATTCTACAGGACTCAACGTGTGGAACACTAGTCTTATTTTACACCTGGAACATAAAGCTGTCACTTAGTTCCACCTGGAACCAAAAAGGAAATATTTTATATTGAATTATTACTTTTTTTGCCAGAATTCAGATCGGCGAAACGAAATCGATTTCCGGAGACTAGTTATTAACATGGAATAGAATCGAAATCGAAGTTGATTCCAAGAACAGATTTCTCTTAACACAAATCGCTTGAGCCCTTAATGTAAGGATTAGCACAGTTGTCTTGTGAGCGCGATTGGTTGGATATTGATGAAGAACTAAAGAGGTGACAGCTTGCTATGCTGGAGGTTGTGTTAATTTTTTTCTAAAAGTTTTCGGTGAGCAGAGAAATCAAGAAGCCCCCCGAAAAGGTTTTCGAAAAAAAACACCCAGCAATGTGCACATCTATGTGAAGAGAAAAGAAAACCCTTTCCGACTGATGGATTCTCTAATTCTGATTGGTTCTTTTGCGATTTTTAACAAGCAAGCAAAGTGTGCAAAAAACTGGCGCGTTTTATGTACTCATAACCTGTTAGAAATGGATAGTCTTATTTCGCACCCAAACTGGTACGGATCAGAATACATGCGGATTACACATAGGTCGTGAGTAGCTCGCCGAATATTACAGAAGATCCCAACCTTTTTTCATCACATTTTGACTCCGGAAGGAAAAACATACGAAGTCAGTCACGAGCATGGATTCTCCATGGCAGACACGCGACGAGCAGACAAAATATGACAAAGATACCTTTTCCAAAAACGTGGAAATCCATCAGATTCGATCATTCTTCCACCATTGAGGCAAGACAAACTTCAATAGACCCGCTGCAAACCGAAGACCATTGATCTTTGCGCGCTGTGATCCTTATCGGAAACCGATCGATCATTAGATACACAAGTTGTACTAGTCTTTTGGCTTGTCGAGAACCCAACTACTGTAGCTTTCTGTTCCATTCCTCCTCTTGCATCGTTTCGAATCACATCGCCATGACAAAAAACAGATCAATCCGCTCGTTCGTCACGTTCCGGTCGACACTCACTGCCATTGTGTTCGTCTGGTGCTGTGCCCATTCCGAGGCATTCCAGGCGACACCCAACCAAAAACCCGCGCTCTCGTCTCTCGCTCCGGCCGCCACGGCCGCAACCACCCTGGCGGTGCTGCTGACGCTGGGAACCCCCCTGGAACCCGCCTTTGCCGCCTCGAAGGAAAGCCCGACGGCGGGCCGGATCACCATCAACCAGATCCCACCCAAGACGGTCCGCATCGAGGCCCGGGACCTGCCCGTCGTGGGGAAATTGGTGTCGGGCACCTACGCCAGGGTCGACGAAAGCTCCGTGGCTGGTCCCCCTTCCGTCATCGTATCCTCGCCCCGGGACACGATCGGGGCGATCAAGAAGGCCACCACCGGCGGGCACGTGGAGTTCGACGTGGGTGGAAGCGTGGGCCTCCGCACCCACCTGGACGTGGACATTGCCGCCGAAAAATCGGGGGTGGCGAGCGTCCGGGTCGCGTCGGACCTGATCCCGCAGCTGCCCTTCCGCAACGCCGCGTCGTCGTTGTACGGACAGCCTGGCAGGAAGGAAAGCCAGTGGAACATCGTCACCAACATGGGAAGCGGAGAGTCGTACTACTTCAATACAAAAACAGGCGTCACGCAGTACGAACAGCCAAGTAAATTTTAGTAACAGCAGGTACTCTTTATCCGCGATTTGCAACTAATAAGGCTTATAGTCCTTGTCTATTTGGGATAGATATTAGCACATTCGTAGGAACAACAAGGATTGTAGTTAGTAGTTGCTAGAATTGTTGATAGTTCCGTTGCTTCTACTAGTACTAGTCCAGTACCAAAAGAAAATATAACTAAAAATACAACCGTGTAGGACACAGTACATAAGACTCGTAGGTCTTATAGACAGTGCGCGGCAAGACTGGAGTGCAGGAGTATCAGCGTGTTTGATGAGAAGTACTCACACGATCACGCACAAGGCAAATTCTATACAAAAAAACCAAGTCGGGAGAGTAATTCTSRACAATCACGTCGATAACGACAACACCGATACCAACACTCCTGTCAGCTAACAAGATGGTCCTCTTGTTGAGGATAGCAAAATACAGCAAAATACAGTGAACATATACACAGTACACTATATTTTTATGCTTTTTTTCGATATAAGGGGGGGACAAGTAGTAAGGAAACACCAAAGAAGCATCGATTTGTCGACAGCGTCGACAGCAACGATGTCGACAATCAGCAGCACAATCAGCAGCAACCACGACGTCGACGATCACCGCCAGCAGCAACGGCGTCGACGATCATTACTAACAGATTACTACTAGGAAGCAGTGGGGACAAGTAGTAAGGAGACACTTCGACACGCAACAAAGAACAAAGAACAAGCAAGCATCGACGACGTCGACGATTACTAAGAAGCAGCCGGTCCTCTAAGCAAGTGGTGTCCCCCGACTGCTTCATGGGGAGCCATGGCTCTAAGAATGAATGAAACGCGCTTGGAAGGGCCTCCATACACTGTATAGATCCTTCGAACAGCCACTTCAGAAGAACAACCAGCTCTGATGAGTCTTTCCATGCATCTCCAGAACTTCAAACGCCTGCAGTACTTGCTCTTTACACGACCTCTCTCAGCCGCAGTAAACTCCTTCGCAGGCTTGTTCAGACCAACACCCACCTCCCATTCATTCCAGAGGACATAAAGATCATTAGGACACTTGCACAGCTCCGCTAGTACTCCGTCAGTTCCTGCACCACCACCAGCTTCCGACGCGCCACTGTTWACAGCTCGGACGATCCGACGTCTTGCTACAGGGGCCATAGCAGCTCTTTGGGACAGCTCGATGGCTCTATTCAGCTTGCGATTGAATCTGGCTTCAACTGCAATCTGCCTATTTTGAATATCATTCACTTGAATAGCAGTGGCGAACAGCTTGGAAAACATTGCATGGTTCCATTGCAATTGAGTGCGTCGAATCCCAACAGCAGTCCCTCCAGCAGCTCCAGGGGCTCCTCCGCCCCCTTCGCCACCACCATTCAGCAGTTCATCCGGATCAGCGAGCTCATCAAAGTGAACTTGCCCACTGAGCTCATTGACAATCAGCTCAACTTTCTTGATAGGATTCACATCAGCATCTAAACGACGAGGACCATGGCTGTGATTGAGTTGAACCCAAGAAGCAACAACATCATTCTTCACGTCCTCAGGAATCAAGCCAGAAGCTTGCATTGCCGGATCGCAACAAGCCCAAAGCAAGGCCTTACCTAGAATCGCTGCCACTTGATTACCAAACACATTGGCAATATTAGGAGCAACTGAAGCAGCAAGCCACTCATCAGTGACGCCCGTTCCTTGCAAAGGCTTGTAGTAACAGATGCCTCCAAAGCAGAGCTTAGCAGCAACATTAACATCAGGCCAAGCAAGCTGCGTGTCAGTGTATCTATCCTGTTGCCTACGAGACTTCCATCTTGCTCTATAATCAACRTCATCCCRTGAGCAACCRCACTGCCTTGCATACGTGGTACCGAACTTCCGAATGGAATGAGTACCGAGCTTCCCTTCTGATAGTCTTTCAGGAACAAAGACAGGATTCGTAAATGCATGGCGCTTGATGAAATTAGAGTATGCAGTCTTTCCTTTATTAACCTCTTTTGCAACATTCTTTTGTGGTGATCTCCTATCTGTAACTCCTTCAGTGAATAGCCATTGGCTTCCTGCTCCGCCACCACCGTCTTTGCACCACTTCTCAAGATACAAGGCAAGCCCCAGTACAACACACGATCGATGATCCATCGATCCAAGCAAGATTTGTTTGGGACAGTCCCTCTCTTCTCTCACATTCTTAGACCACTTCATCTTTGCTGTAAGGAATCTAGGAAATTCAGCAGATCTTTCCAAGCTGTCCTTTCCAACGTGTGCTGTATCATCATTCCGGCCAATCAGATGAAACTGAAACTTAATCATTGCAAGATATCGAAGTCGTTTGATGAGATCGCCGTGGTTCCCCAATAGTTCAAGCGTTTGCAAAAACTCAGCCTTTGTAAGAGGTCGATCCATCTTGCTGGCTTGTCCAAGTCCTCTTGTTTCCTTCTTGATAACAGCTGCGATAAGATCATTAACTTTCTGGGACTTAGTAGGATTTCCACTACCAACACCGGCAATAACAGTCCACTTGTGCAGCTTGTTTGGCATGAAATAGGATAATGCCTTCTTGTAGTAAACAAGGGATGAAGATCTTCCTTCAGTAGGATTATCGTCGACGCCAGGATCTTCCCTACCAAACACTTTCTTTGCAAAAAACTTGTAGATATGATCTGGTGTTAGAATACTCAACTGCTCATCCGTGAATAGAGTATCACTCGGAAACCGATTATCATTGTCTCCTCCTTCATCCACTCTTCCATGTACATGATCCATTAACTCAAGCAGAACCTTATGGTATCGCCCCCATTGTCCTGGTTGGTTCACATCTCGTGGAGGCGTTACAGCCCCCCCCCTTCTTTTCCGAGCCTGTCGTGATTGAGCTGCTGGTGGTGTTTCCATAGTAGTTAGTTGTTTGGGGTTTTGCTTGAACCGGTACTACTCGTATGCGATACTCGATACTAACTCGTATGCAGGCCGCGTCGCTGTTATTTTGTGAGCAAAAAATGCACCTCTCGTGAGTCGACGGGGCTGCGAGGATACTCTTGTGCATATTTGATACTTATAGTATTTGCTATATTCGATAATTACAGTATATTCAATACTTACAGTATTTGCTTGTTCTTGCAGTATTTGCTTTGCTTGCTTGCTTGCTTGGGGTTTTGCTTGAACCGGTACTACTCGTATGCGATACTCGATACTAACTCGTATGCAGGCCGCGTCGCTGTTATTTTGTGAGCAAAAAATGCACCTCTCGTGAGTCGACGGGGCTGCGAGGATACTCTTGTGCATATTTGATACTTATAGTATTTGCTATATTCGATAATTACAGTATATTCAATACTTACAGTATTTGCTTGTTCTTGCAGTATTTGCTTTGCTTGCTTGCTTGCTTKGGGTTTTGCTTGAACCGTATGGTGCGAGGACTGTAAATTTTGTGAGCAAAAATAATGCACCTCTCGTGACGAGGCAAGAGGAGTTGCAAAATTGTTGCATACTCAGTGTAATTTTGCTCTGTGTTAGGCAACCAAAAGAGGTACGGATGCGACCACAGCAGAAAAGCCAATACGGTTGCACAGTAGAAATCCTACCAGAAATTATGTAGCACGTGCAAGTACGGTGGTAAATGGAGTGGGACTAGTTGGAGTACTATAGTCTATGTAGAAATGTACGTATTTAGACTGCTTCGACCGTTTTGCAACATCGGTTGCAAAAATGGGGTACTAGTCCTGTACCAAAAGAAAATATAACTAAAAATGCAACCATGTAGAACACAGTACAAGTTCTATGTACATGAGACAAGGTGCACCAAGCGTGCGCGGAGTGCAAGAGTATCAGCGTGTTTGATGAGAAGTACTCACACGATCACAAACAAGGCAAATTCTACAGAAAAAAAACCAAGTCGGGAGAGTAATTCTCGACAATCACGTCGATAACAACAACAACACGGACGCTTCTCCCCTGTCAGCTACTAAGATGGTCCTCTTGTTGAGGATAGCAAAATACAGCAAACTACAGTCCAGCACATATACACAGTACACTATATTTTTATGCTTTTTTTCGATATAAGGGGGGGACAAGTAGTAAGGAAAGACGAAGACACGCAACAAAGAACAAGAAGCGTCGACGTCGAAGACACGCAACAAAGAACAAGAAAGCGTTGACGACGTTCTTGATTAGCTAAGAAGCAGCCGCCGGTCCTCTAAGCAAGTGGTGTCCCCCAACAGCTTCATGGGGAGCCATGGCTCTAAGGATGTAGGAGACCCTCTTGGTTGGACCACCATACACTGCATAGATCCTCCTAATTGCTACTTCTGAAGAAGCACCAGCACGAATCATCCGCTCCATACACTTCCAGAACTTCAACCTTCTGCAGTACTTGCTCTTAACACGTCCTCGCTCAGCACCAGTGAACTCCTTTGCAGGCTTATTAAGACCAACGCCCACTTCCCATTCATTCCAGAGGACATAAAGATCATTAGGACACTTGCACAGCTCCGCTACTCCGTCCTCAGTTCCTGCACCACCAGCTTCCGACGCGCCACTGTTTACAGCTCGGACGCGACCACGTCTTCTTGCTATAGGGCTCATGGCAGCTCTTTGGGACAACTCGATGGCTCTATTCAGCTTCTGATTGAACTTAGCTTCACTCGCGATTTGCCTATTTTTGATATCATTCACTTGATTTGCTGTAGCAAAAAGCTTCGAGAACATTGCATGGTTCCACTGCAACTGATTACGTCGAATCCCTCCCCCACGAGCAGCTCCTTCGCCACTATCACCACGATCGAGCAGTTCATCCGGATCAGCAAGCTCATCAAAGTGAACTTGCCCACTGATCTCATTGACAATCAGCTCAACTTTCTTGATAGGATTCACATCAGCATCTAAGCGACGAGGACCATGACTGTGATTGAGTTGAACCCAAGAACCGACAACATCCTGCTTCACGTCCTCAGGAATCAAGCCAGAAGCTTGCATTGCCGGATCGCAACAAGCCCAAAGCAAGGCCTTTCCTAGAATCGCTGCAACTTGGTTACCAAACACATTGGCAATATTAGGAGCAACTGAAGATGCGAGCCATTCATCCGTGACTCCTGTTCCTTGCAAAGGCTTGTAGTAGCAAATGCCTCCAAAGCAGAGCTTAGCAGCAACGTTAACATCAGGCCATGCAAGCTGGGTGTCTGTGTATCTATCCTGTTGCCTACGAGACTTCCATCTTGCTCTATAATCAACGTCATCCCTCGGGCAACCACACTGCCTTGCATAGGTGGTACCGAACTTCCGAATSGAATGAGTACCAAGCTTCCCWTCCGATAGAGGTCTTTCAGCAACAAAGGCAGGATTCTGAAATGCATGGCGCTTGATGAAATTAGAGTATGCGGCCTTCCCCTTATTCACCTCTTTCGCAACATCCTTTTGTKGTGATCTACTATCTGTAGTTCCTTCAGTGAATAACCATTGGCTTCCTGCTCCGTCTCCTTTGCACCACTTCTCAAGATACAAGGCAAGCCCCAGTACAACGCAAGCGCGATGATCCATGGAACCAAGCAAGATTTGTTTTGGGCAATCACGTTCCTCCCTTACATTCTTTGACCACTTCATCTTTGCTGTAAGGAATTTAGGAAACTCAGCAGATCTTTCCAAGCTGTCCTTTCCAACGTGTGCTGTATCATCATTCCGACCAATCAGATGGAGCTGGAACTTAATCATTGCAAGGTATCGGAGCCTTTTGATGAGATGGCCATGATTCMCCATCAGTTCTAGTGTTTGCAAGTACTCATCCTTTGTAAGAGGTCGATCCATCTTGCTGGCTTGTCCAAGTCCTCTGGTTTCCTTCTTGATAACAGCTGCGATAAGATCATTAACTTGCTGAGACTTAGTAGGATTTCCACTGCCAACACCGGCAATAACAGTCCACTTGTGCAGCTTGTTTGGCATGAAATAGGATAAYGCCTTCTTGTAGTAAACAAGGGATGAAGATCTTCCTTCAGTAGGATTATCRTCGACRCCAGGATCYTCSCKACCAWASACTTTCTTTGCAAARAACYTGTAGATATGATCTGGTGTTAGRAKACTYARCTGCTCMKSCGTGAATAGWGTATCACTYGGAAAGCGATTATCATTTTCAATAGGACCACCTTCATCCACTCTTCCATGTACATGATCCATTAACTCAAGCAGAACTTTATGGTATCTCCCCCATTGCCCTGGCTGGTTCACATCGCGTGGAGGCGTTACTGTCCCCCCCCTTCTTTTCCGAGCCCGGGGACGCTCCTGTTGACGTTGCTGCGCCTCGTCCTGTTGAGCTGTTACCATTTCTTGCTTGTTGCTGGTGCTGCTGTTGCTTTTCGATAGTTGTACTGCTAGTAGTACTATTTGCTTGCTTCTTGCTTCTTGGGGTTTTGCTTGAACCAATCGTAGTATGCGAGCGTTGCTGTTTGAATTTTGTGAGCAAAGAAATGCACCTCTAGTGAGTCGATGGTCGACGATTGCTTGCTGCTGTTTTTCGATACTTATGACTGCGGCGCTGCTCGTCGCTGCTGTTTTTCGATACTTAGTCTGAGTGCTCGCTGCTGTTTTTCGATACTCACAGGAGTACTTCTATTTGCTTGCTTGTTCTTGCTTKGGGTTTTGCTTGAACCGGTACTCGTAGTATCATGCAAGGACTGCTGATTTGTGAGCAAAAATTGCACCTCTCGTGACGTTGAAAATGCACCTCTCGTGACGAKGGAAAGGAGTTGCAAAATGGTTGCATACTCAGTGTAATTTGCTCTGTCTTAAGCAACCGAAAGAGGTACAGATGCGACCAAAACAGAATCGCTGATACGGTTGCACAGTAGAATTCCTACCAGAATTTATGTAGAGGATGTCAGTACGGTGGTAAATGGAGTGGGATCAGTTGGGGTATTATAGCCTACGTAGAAGTGTACGTATTTTAAGTACTATTAGACTCCTTCGACCGTTTTGCAATTTCGGTTGCAAAAATGGGGTACTAGTACCGTACTAATAGTACCAGTAGCAATACTTTGGTTTTGTTTGGATCGAGCGAGTCAAACTAGTCGAATGAGTCAAGAAACATACCCAGAATGCGTCACCTAAAAAACATTACTGCAACCGATGACATCATACCGTACGGTTCGTACGCATACAAGAACAATCTGGTACGGTATGGTGTCTCCGCAAGATTGTGTACAAGGTGCGTACGGTAACAGTTGCTGTCGCGCACAACTGTGGCTGGCGAATTTAGATCTCTGCGCTTCCCGTTTTTCTCATCCGCCGTCGCACAAAGACAAGCACGACGACCGCCATCGCAACAAAAAAGAACGATCGAAGGAACGGAAGACGTGAACCATGGTCAAGATATCCTCAGCCGCATTGCTGCTGTGTTTGCAGATGCAACCGGGAACCGTTTCGGGGTTTCTTCCGGCGAGCAAGAACCTGAACGCGAATGGCAACGGCGCCGTGACGTCCACGACGCTCGCCTTTGACTGGTTTGGGCTTCGCAAGAACGGCAACAGCGAGAGCGTCGCGAGCATCTTCGACTCGTCGACCAATATGATTGTGAACACGCAACAAAAGGACTACGTGACTGATGGGGACTGGCTGAGCAAGAACCTGCGCAACAAAAACAACAAGAACAACGACGCCGAGTCCGCCGACGTTGTCGTCATCGGTGGCGGAATCTCGGGCCTCGCCGCCGCCATTACCGCCGCCGAGGCCGCCAAGAGTGCGAACGACCCAAAGAAGATCGTCCTGGTGGAAGCCAACAACAAGTGCGGGGGCCGGGTCAGCTCGGTAGAAACAGACGACGGCTTTGTTCTCGACGAGGGATTCGCCGTCTTTATCGAGGAATATCCGGTAGTCAAGAAGCTTCTCGACTACGACGCCCTCGAGCTCAAGCGGTTCCTGCCGGGAGCCCTCGTGAAGCTCAAGGGTAACGACGAACTCGCAAGGGTGGCGGATCCCCTGCGCAACCCGGAAGACATTTTCGCTTCCGTCCTTTCCCCCATTGGATCCCTTATCGACAAGATCAAGGTGCTGCCGCTGGTCCTGAGCGTCCGTCTGGGATCTGTGGAATCGATTTTCGCAGAGGCCGAGACCGACACCAAGACCGCGCTGGTCGAGCGCTGGGGCTTTTCCGATGCCTTTATCGATTCCTTCCTGAAACCCTTTCTCGAGGGGATCTACCTGGCCCCGCTCGAGGAGCAATCCTCCCGAATGTTTTCGTTCGTCTTTAAGATGTTTTCCGATGGATCGGCGACCCTGCCTAAGGGAGGAATGGTGGCCGTGACGAACCAGCTCGTGGAAAAGGCCGAATCGCTGGGCGTGACCATCCTCACCGGGACACCGGTCGCAAGCGTGGCTCCCAAGGACGACGATGCCGGATACGTGATCGAGTGCGTCGACGGAAGCAACCGGTCCTTCGACACACCGTCCGTGGTGGTGGCGACCGACGGCAAGATTGCCAAGAAGATCATCGGCAACATCGAGGGGTTCGAATCGCTCAGGGACGAACCCGACCAGGTCCAGCGCTCGGTGGGGTGTGCCTACTACGGGTTCGAGGGACCCGCGCCGGTCGAGGATCCCATTCTGGTGCTGAACGGGATGAAGGGCGAAAACGACGATCCCGTCAACAACGTTTGCTTTCCGTCCGTKGTCAACGACGGCTACGCGCCGGAGGGATACAACCTGTGCAGTGTAACGGTTCTTAGCGATGCCATGGACAAATACATGGGCAAGCCCGACGAACTCGACCAGGCCATCCGAAAGCAACTGGCGACGTGGTTTGTGGATCAAGAGAGCGACATTTTGGAAAACTGGGACCTGAAACAGATTTTTTACGTGAGTCAACGAGGAGGCGACGAGGATTGATTTTGAATGTGTTCCGATTTTTTTGAAAAGTATGCGTTGCCTTCCTCACGTCTTCTTCTTCTTTGTTTGTGTCTTCAGATTCCCAAGGCGCAACCGAGCCAGCTCAATGGGCCACAGCCCGCTTCGTTCAATGGCGGTCGGTCGAGTACCACCTTCTTCGGCAAGGAACTCCCAAGTGGTTTGTATGTATGCGGAGACCACATGGCTACCGCAACGCTCAATGGCGCGGCGGAATCGGGGGTAAAGGCCGGAGACGATGTCTCCAAGGCAATGTTTTCGACGGGTGCTCCGTCGCCGTCAGCAAGCGAAAGCGATCCCGAACCCGCAGCCGTAGCGCAATAAATAGTAACGCCCCTTTGTTTTTTTCAAGTCTGCGTAAATCCTGCTTGTACCTCGCGGTCGTGGCGCATATTGAGTGCCCGGCAGTTGTAGCATACGAATTGCCTGCGTGTTTTGAATTGATATAACTATTACCAGGAGCCGTGATCGATCATCAATGGTTGTTAATTGTCTATGTTCACACCATGTATAGTTTCATCAAGATCGATTTTAGCGGTTTTAATTTTAATTTGTTACAAAAGTTGATCGGTCCTCGGTAGCTAAGTTGCATTCGTTATCGTCGTAGAATAGATTTTGTGGAAAAAAAGTTGTTTCGGTCGCTGGTTTTGCTTCCCGACGTCACAAGCTCCATAGTGTCTCGGAAGAACCCAATCAGGTGGCTCTGGAATTCTTCCGTGACCGTTTCGGGCGGGGGAGCGGCCGGGTTGATGTTCGCTTCCAGAAGATAGATTCGTTCCTGCTCGGTGACCAGCAAATCGAGGCCGGCAATGGCGAACTTGTGGGGAAGGACCATGCACCCGCGACTTGCTTCGTTCTCTCCGTCCAGCGCCGAGGCGCTCCTCGCGACCCGCCGTTCCATGTCGGGGTACAGGGCTTCCATGGCATTTGCCACGAAGTTCTCCACCTTGTGGTGGAGGTTCCGCGCAACGAGCTCCGGCTCGTCCTGGAGGAGCCCCCGGTCGAAGGTTTCCGTAATGTGCGCCCCCCGGCTCCGCTCGCTGGATCCGGCTGCGTCGCAAGGAGACGACGGCATGGGTTCACTGGCGATCCGGATTTCGTGTCGGTTGTAGAGAAAGAGTTTCACGAGGTCTTCCTCCTCCTCGCCGTCAAGGGGCTCGTCGAGCATGACATTGGTTTCGACACAAACGACATAGGTTCGGATGTGAAACTTGCGACGGTCACGAATGAGAAGGCATGGTTTGACCTCCGCCTGGAGCACCCAGCTCGGGATGCGTCCCTTCTGGGCGATCAGATTGTCCAGGAATCCACTCTCCGATACCGCGCGCTGGCGGTGTTGTTCGATGATGCTGTGGATTTCGTCCGCATCGCGGACAAAGAAGACACCGGTGCCCCGGCTGCCCATCGGCTCTTTCAGCACCGCAATTGCAGTGGACGAGTCACCGTTGCTCTCTTTCGACAGGTGCGGCAGCGAGTTTCCGACGACGTTGCGGCATTCTTCCTGTGTGACACATATTCCGGACAAGAGAACGTCGAAAATGCCACAGATTCAACAGTTTCAAAACACAAATTTGAAAAAGGGTTAGCTCTTGTCGGATTACGCCTGGGTAGAAAGTATTTACATCAATATCCAAATACTACGAAGAAAGGCGATGCACTCCAAATTATTCCGAGAAAACCACACACCTTGGTCACATCCCAATTTATTAGCTGAGAGGGCGGCGATATGTTCATGTCTTCGCATCTGCACCGTTTCAGGGTGCGTGCCAGCTCATCTTTGTCATCTAGACCGTCGAAAGCCTGTGAAGTACAGTGAAAGACCTCGAGGCTCCAGGGTCGGGCGTGGTTACTGTTGTGGCCCGTGCTCCTGTTCGATACGATCTCGACCCGCAGTGTGCAGTTGGCGTCCGTCGCGGCCGTATTGATGCCCCTCTGCTGTCTCCGGCGGCTGGTGCTGGATTGTCTTGGGTGACTGGCGACAGCTACCGCTGCTATCGACGCGAGCTTTCCAGACGGGAGGTCTCCGGAGGCGCCGACGCGGGTGATGGCAACGAGTCCGGCGCCATTCTGGGTACACACGCCATCCATCACCCACTCCCAGGGGCTGCGCACAGAGATGAATGCGTGGTTTCCCTCGGACTGGAGCGGGCCTACCACGATTGCTTCGCGTGGTTGGTCGTTCTGAACCGCGTCCCTGTTACCTCCGTCGTTCAATTTGTGGCCAGAACCACCGACTCCGGAGATATTCGCCTTGATGGTCTGTGAAACTTTTCCGAATTTCATCGTGCTATACTATGGTTTGTGCTTTTCGTTTGCTTCGATCGATTTCTACGTTGGTTTCTGAACTTCTGCCGATGCGATAGTTTGCGTCGCGTACTGCGATGCCGGGAAGAAATTGTGGGTGCGAGAGCAACAAAACCCTCCTCCGTATGATACACGTGTATTTTTTTTACGTATGTAACAAAACAGAATATTGGAATATTGTTTGGTGTGGAAATGCAATTTCGTTTCTGATGTTGCTTACACACTTGTATCAACCGCAATCGCTTTTGTTTTTTATCTCTTATTGTATCCGTATTATTTGTTTTTAGAAAATCCGATGGGAAGGGAAGTGATTATCAACTAGAGTAATTTTTTCACTCCATGCTGTGAAAATCGCAAATAAATAATCGAAATTTTTAGATTCTCTGCTTTTTTTTTGGGAAAAAAAAAAATTTCCGCAGATTCGCGCAATTTTTTTCGAAACAGTAACTTGGTCAGGCCTCTACCGTACCGGCCGGTTGGTACGGTGAGTCTCATCTGTATCATTTGTACTGGCTGCGCCCGTAGAACTTCAATAAAACACAGTCGATGACGTGCGATTCGTACGAGTACTCAACCCTCAACGTACAGGTGGAATGCAATTACTCGTACTCTATTTCAAAATCTTTCCTCTCGGGACATCGATTTTTCTCATCGGGAGTCCATTCATTCTAAGAAGAGCCCCGGGACACCTCGGAACTATCGCCATCGTACTCCAAGCCAGGGTGACCCCTGTTCCAAGCAACTGTACAAACTCCAATAAGGATTGTCGGCAGAAGAGAAGCAGAGGGCAACGACAATAAACATTAAGATCTTCGCAACACCATAACATAGACCATGTCGTCAAGAATAAGATGCAGTGCGTTCCTTGTGATGGGGGGGATGCTGGTTTTGGTTTCTTCCTTTTCCAACAATCTCCCTGCCCGCGGTTCGATCGGCCACCGAGATGTAGCTCAGGTCTGCTCTTTCACGAACAGCAAACACAGTCTCTCGACCCAGGAAATCTGGCAACGGTCCACTCCGAACACGTTCCTATCGATGGCGTCGTCTCCGGCCGCCACGGCGGACGAGAGTCAGCAAGTTGGCGATCTCTTTTCGAAATACTGCGACGATGACAATCTCATCGACAAGAAGACACTGGAATCCATGCCCCCGTTTGCAATGATGCTGGTAAGTTTTCTAGGGTTCTCCGGTGTTGATGTTGCGAATTCTTTACGATGTGGAAGGATCGTTTTCGACGATATTAAAAATTATCTTCGTCTCATCTTTTGTTGTGATTCGTTGTGTCGTAATGTGGCATCATATGGTATGCAGGCCGACGAGGATCTGTTGCCGGCCGAACTTAACGATATTTGGGAGGCAGCGCTGAAATCCTCCAAGGATCCATCGCGCGTGGATTCGGATTCGTTTGCGCAAATTTACCGCGACGTCGACGATCTTTTTGAAGACGACGAAGAGGAAGACGAGGACGAAGACGAAGATAGCGGCGAGACTGATGCTAGCAGTGAACCTGCTGATTCAGAAACTCAGATGGCGGATGCAACCGAAAACGAGTTGGATGAAGAATTGTCAAAGGCTTACAAATCACTTTGCGACGAAAATGGATTGATATCTAAGAAAAAAATGTTGGAATGGGAGGAAATCGAGTCGCTGCTGGAGGAAGGTCTTCTCGGTGAAGACGAATTCGAGGAATTGTGGGCAAACTCGGTCAGCGACAACGCCGAATCATCTATCGATTCCAATGGCTTTCTGACTTTTAATTTGGGACTGGACGAGTTGTTTGAGTTGGACGACGAAGACGAGGAGGACGATGAGGAAGAAGAAGGAGAGTTACCTCCAACACCGGCTACTCCGAGAGCAATGGTCATCGAGGGTGATATGCCACCCGGTGTTCTTTTCTCGCAACTTGCCGATGAAAACTATCTTGTGGGATCGAAAGAACTCATCCTCTGGGTGGAGCTGAAGGACATGCTTGAAGAGGGTGACTTGTTGGAATCCGAATTGAAAGTGATCTTTAAGAAATACGCGACACCCGAGGGCAAACTCACCGAAGAAACTTTTGTGGAATTCTACGACGAGATCGACGGACTTTTTGAAGAAGATGATGATGAGGATGGCGAGGAAGTAACAGCCGCTGCCCCCACTCCTCCTCAGCAGGCACAGCCAAACACGGCCATGAGCGAGAGAGTCAAGGGGGATTTTCTTTCGTTTATTGACATTGTGATCGAGGAGGACGAAGAACCGTGTGGGTTTGGTGCGTCCGAAGCCGACCAGGAGCAGGTCCTCAATATCTTGAAGGTCCTAGAGCAGCAGCCTACCAATATGATCGTGCAAAAGGACGGGAACATCGAGCAATCCGATCTCGCGGGGACCTGGGAACTGATCTACACGAGTTCGTCTGCCATGAAGTTCAACAAGGGGCTCAGCGGAATCGGCGGGAGCTTTCCCAACGGAAAATTTGGCAGCCTCCGACAGGACCTCATCGCCACCAAGTTTTTGAGCGATATGTTCTACAAGGAACGCATCGACGTGAATCCCTCGAGTGCGTCGTTCGACGTTACGGTGAACGGCGTCTGGGACCTCCGAAAGAGCGTCTCCATCTTCACGGGGCAACCCACAGTAATCCTGAACGTGGAGCCGGACCGGGTCACGTACGGACCAACTTCCACGAGGGCAGACCACTGGAAGAGCCTGGGGCCGGTCAACCGACTGGATTTGTCGTATCTGGACGACGACCTCAGGGTTATGCGAGGCTGCACATCATCCGAAACTGTGTTCGTATTCAAAAAAGTGTAACCGATCCAACACACATAAATCCATAGATACCGACTATTAACTCTATACAAGGCTAGTAAACAGGTTGATTACAATGCTCTATTAATTTGGCGGTGCCAAAGCTCCGGGCCGCTCTCATATGATGACTCCCGAGAGCGTCGACTCGTTCAGATCGGACCAGTCCATGCGCCGGATTTTTGCCACGATCCGGCTGAGCCGCTCCATCCCGATTTCCAGGACCTCCGGGGTGACCCAGGCGTAGCAGATCCGGAACATCCCCGGCGTCCGCTCCCGCTGCGACTCGCCCGGGGTCAGCACGAGCCGGGCGTGGTCGATCAGGAGCGCGGACAGCTTCTGCTCCCACTCGGTCGTCTTCTGCGGCAGCAGCGAGCTAAAGTCGACGTAGACGAACTGCCCGGCCACGGCCGGGACAAAGGGCAGGACCATTTCCTCCAGCTTTTCGATGCAAATGTGGTACGACCGGCGGAGCCGGGCCCTCGATTCGTCCAGGTACGTGTCGAGGAAATCGTCGTCCGTCAGGAGCTCGGAGACAACCATCTGGATGGGGTTGCTCACCCCACTAAAGACGTTCAGGTTGGCGAGTCCCTCGAGCAGCGTCTCGTTCTGGCTGTACACCACGCCGAACCGCAGCCCGCTGGCACCAAAGTCCTTGGACACCGACCAGACAAAGTGCACGTCGTTGCCGAGCCGGTTGTCCAGGATGCTTATGATCGATTCGAATCCGTGGCCGTGCCTGCGGTGGGTAGAGAGGGCGTAGATTTCATCGACGATGGTGTGCACCTTTCGTTTCCGGGCCCACGCGACGGCGTTCCGCATAATCGTGCTGCTGTAAACGACGCCCAGCGGGTTGTTTGGGTTCGTGATCAACAAGAATCTGGGATTGAGCCGTTGCTGTTATACGACCAAGCGATTTGGTGCCGAACAACAGCACACCGGAGGGGTTGATTGAGAGAAGCAAGCAACACAGAATGTGAATCAAACAAGAAGCTCCAGGGTTTGGTACAAAGAACCCACGAAAAACAACGGCGTCAAAACTACTATCTTGAAAACAGGAAGCACGAAAATGGGAGGAAGCAACTTACGGATTTTGCTTCGATAAAGGCCAGATCGAGTTCGCTCGCGGAGGGACCGCTTGCCGGATCTGCCATGTGGACCGCGAACGGAACCACCCTGGCCACGATCCGCAGGTCGCTCTCGAACGCGGCATAGTATGGCGCCGGAATCAGACAGGCATCGCCCTCGTCGCCCAGAAGAAAGAACAGAGCTAGAACCAGGTAAGCCAAAGAAACAATATAAAACTTCCATTAGCACCGAAAAAAAAGAGGTAATCCACCCCGGAAAACGCCTTCTTTGATTCGTTCTGATCCTACCGGTGCCGCATTGCGCTTTGGTCTTGTCGATTCTTTCGAAGCATCTTACCGTTCAGAATCCCGGCAGCCCCCGACCCGATGCCAATGTGGGCCGGGTTGATGGATTGCAGCGCCTGCGGGAGGCTCACCCGCGCCGTGCCGGCGGTCGTTCCGGCCATGATCGGGGACGGCCCCCGGAAGTGCCTGCCTTCGCCAGCACCGCTGCCGCTCTCGGCTGGCGCGTACAGGAACCGGTTGGCCAGGAAATACGACACGGCCTGCCGCGCCACCGGAAGGCCCAGAAAGGAGTTGTAGCAGTAGACCATCGGGTTCGAAAAGGCCGCGACCGTCGTCGAGGGGGTCTGGAGGCGCTGCGAGAGCAGATCGATCAGCAGCTTGTTTTCCGCCATGCACAGGAGCACGTAGCCGTCGGGTGCGTCGTCGGGCGAGCACGCGTAGGCAAGGCCCCTCAGAAAGCTCGCCAGGTAGGGCGTCGCCGGCGACAGGGCGTTGCGGCAGCGGCGGGAGACCCTCGCGGCGCCGGCGTTGTTGCTGCTGCTGCTGCCGTCGTCGTTGTCGTCGTCGTCGTCCTCCCCCGGGTAGTAGATGGCCCACCCGCTGCGGGCCTTGCGGATGCGCTCCCTCCGGATGTTCCGGACCGTCCAGCGCGCGGCGAGGCCAAAGAGGACCGCCGAAACGATCGAGATCGACCGCTCGGGAGAAAAGTCCCTGGGCATGCTGTCGTCTCTGTCCCAAGCCCCGTGCCGTTCCCGTCTCGGTTTCCTTCGAATTGGGTCTTGCTTAATTCACAGCACAGCACACGTCGACACAACACAACATGGGTTTGTGCATTCGCAGCAGGTATTTAATTGGACAGTTTTTAAAACGGGTGAGGCAAAGCTTTGTGATTATGATTGGCCTCTGAGATTGTTGAGAGATTTTTGGATGATTTTTTTTTCCTAACCCGTCGTAATCTCTGTGATTTCAATGACGCGCTGATGTTTTCCCTTTTTTGACGGGTACGAGTATGATTGTCATGATTGATTGCTTTTCCTTAGACGGCAGAATTTACGGTACTAGAAGTAGTAGAACACAAACAATGTACCGTACATTTGTTAAATGCGTCTCGAGCGCGTCGGTTGTTGTGAAAGAGACAAGATTTCAGTTCGGAGAAGTCGATTCGTATGAATTATGTGTACTAAGAATAAGAATACCGATAATCAATTGTTCAGTGCATACGAAACGAAACACTGTACCTGTACCGTAGCATTGGTACGAGGCAGAGATACTGTAAGCGAACCTCATGGATGGGTAAGAGTAGTACGACGTCGCCGTAGCGGTACAGTACCAGGTACTTAGCAGTTAGGATCACAGAGCACGGAAGGTTCTTGAAGTGCCTTCTTCTCCATTTCTTTCATCGGCAACTCTCTCATTTACAGCAGGCAACGTATGTAACATTCCTTCATGAGAACATACCAAAGTCTACGACCAGGTCATATTCTAAAACGAGGCCACCACCATGACTGCCGCAGACACGAGGAATGCAACTAGCACCGCTCCGATCAAGGTGACGGACTTTGACATTGTTGCCAAGGAAGTCCCCGGACCGAAGTATGTCCTGGCCGAGGACTACAACAACGGAAAACACATCGGAAACAACCGTTTCGACGTTCTCGTCGATATGTACGTGGACGATTTCCATATGAACCAATCCAAGAACCATCGCGCCGAATGCGATCGAATCATCGGAATCATCCGGAACGTCAACAGCCGAGGCCGGTTTCTTGGCAAGGCACTAACAACACCCGGAGAAGGCGATGGCGACAGCGACAGCGATCGCTTTATTGAACTCAGCGACAAGGACGCAAGGCTCCTCATCGAGGAAACCATCACGACGCGCATCGAAGCGAAACAGAAAGAAATATTCGAGCCACTCCCCCTCCTAGATGCCATTGGGTTTGGTAGGGAAAGTTTTTACAACGAGGGGAAGCACTACGATAACAACCACAACAATATCGATGGCACAAACACCGGGAAGACGGGGCCACCCGTGCTCCGGCGGTCTCGATCGGCCTCCGAAATGGGCTCGGACGCCGACGATGCCTTTTGGGAGGTTTTGAGAGACCTCGAACCAGAACCAGTAGACTACGAATCCAACCGGCAGGCCGACGAGTTCGAGCCCCTGCCCCTCCACGCGAACGACTCCAGCTGCATCGACCCCGACCTCGTACTTCGCACGACGAGAGGTTATAGAACCAACCACAACAACAACACCGGCGACACCAAGAAACGGGGGCGGCGTTACTCGCTGCTCCGGCGCTCGAATTCCTTCGAGTCGGCCTTCGACCGGAAGAAAACCATAAAGAATCTCTACGGGGTCGTGCCGAAACTGCGGCAGCGGCCCGGCCCCCTGATTCCCTCCTTTGACGATCCACAGGCCTCGTCGCCCGCCTTTGTGGCGGACGCGATCCACTCGACCATGGACATGATCGCCGGAATGGGCCGGGGGGCAACATCCGGTGCGGGTGTTCGCACGCACCGGGGGATGGACGTGGTCTTCGAGCAGAAGGATCCCTCCGCTCCCGGCGGCGGTTACGCGCTCAGCCCGAAAGCGGACATCGTGGGGAACAACCGGCTCCGGGTCCTGATCGACCTCGAAAAGGACCGCGTGGGGAGGCTGCCGACGGTCGAGCAGCACACCGCCGCGAGCGGGATGGTCACCACCGTCACCAACGACTGGAAGGGCCGGTTGCTGGTCGACCGGGGCCGCTTCGCGTCGTACGCCTCCCTGGGCCGCGAGGAAGCCACGGCGGCGGTCCTCTGCCTCCTGGTCGGGCCCAGCGGTGGTACCCCCGCGCACGGTGCCACCAGGCCCGCGGCCGCGTCGGGAGCAACGTCCTCGCTGCTGTCGTCGGCGCCGCCCCTCCCCGCGTTTTTGCTCAAGGCCTCGAACGAGATCCTCAACGGCGGCCGGCAAAAGCACACCATGACCACGAAGGAACGGCAAGCCAGAGCGGTCGAGAACCTAAAAGCGCGGCAGCTGGCCAAGGAGAAGGACAAGGAGAAGGACTAGCTCCTCACACGGTGTGTGCTGGCGGGGGTCTAGCCGAAGATGTGTTTGCTGTCACGGTTCAACGGACCGATCGAGTGCCTATGGTGCTATCTGTGCCAATAGTTCAATATTTACTAAAGAGAAACAGCCTATCTTCCAATACCTCGTTCATTTTCTTCGTATCGGGATTGGATTTCTGGTGGGAATTTCTGATACGCGTTACCATTTTGGGAAGATCATAACAGCGAATTCAGAAAAGTTCAAGAGAATCCAACCTCCTCCCCCCCAGCATCGTCAACAACGCCTTATGATGGACTGTTATTCTTCGGAAACAATGCAATTTAGTTGTCTTCATCTTGGCAATCCGTTTCGTGATTCTTTCACAGTCACAGAATCCCGGGTACTGTACAACGGTGGCCTACAAATAGCTGCATTTCAGTGGTGATGCCTACTTCAAAATCACTGTGAAAACAACTTTCCAGGACATGCAAGGTATCAAATGAGATAAATTTTATATCCTAATATATTTAAACTATAGCTAATTTTTGTTACCTTTCTCACTCACTTTCCCACTCACTTTCCGACTCACTTTCCGACTGAGTGAAATAGTAAGATAGGGACTCCAAACACAGCTTCCATATTTTTTCCCGTCCTTTAGGAATTTTCTCTGCAGAATACAACCTCGCCGAGAACTTGTCCTTGCTGCATCCTTCGCATTGGAGCAAGCGTTCAAGTTCGTTGATGAGCTGTTCTTTCTCTTTGTATCCCAAAGCATTCAATGTTTCGATAATTTCGTGGTATGGTGAATCCCGCAGGCTCACCAGGAAAGATACGATAGTAACAGAGAGTCCCGCGACCATACATCCAACATTCCCGCCCAGCAATGCTCCCACAATTGAGAAACCAGTCACAAATCTGGCACGCCTTTCCTGAATGACCTTCACATCTTTATGAGCCTTCATGGCCTGACCGAAACTCTCTCTTGCCGTATCCTTCATTGCTTTACTGTTTCCGAGGAACGGTACCAATACGTTTTCAAATTTATCCTGATATCTTGGCATCTTGACGAATGTGAAAGGAGATGTTGCTTGTATTTTGCTGTTGCTGCTGGAGGTCTGCTGCTGTTTGAGGCTGACTAAATATTTTTATGAGCCTTTCTTCCACACACAATTCTTCGTCTCGACAGTATGTGTACGACTTCAGGGAACAGTACGAGTAATAACCGGTTCTTGAGATCTCCAGATACCTCGATACGACTTAAACGAAGAGGCTTTGGTCGTAGGCTTTGGTCGTGTCGTACTTGGTACTTCTACTAGAGTTACCAATTAAAATTCCCGTACTGGCAAATGATTGACATTCCCCGTACAAATACTAATAGAAATTTTTAGCTCATTTCAACAGTTAAAAACATTTTAAAAAGGCATCCAATAGACAAAAATAAAAATATTTCCATTGTTTAATTTCTCGCTCATCCCAAAATATTTCTATTAGTGGTCCTTAATACTGGGGGGAAGCACTGATTTTGTACTATCTGCAGTAGTACTAGTAGTACTACTAGTACACAAACCGATATAATGGTGTTTTAAGTTTCCTGTGTGCACTTTTTCGATGCTCAAATTAGAATGTCACGTCCCTTTTCCCTGGAACATGTTCTTGCACCCTTCCTTTCTCAGCACAAATTTCATGCCCTTTCCTAGGGTTTGTACTGTTTTCTATCGTCGCCGTTCATTTTCTCATTAGTACAACAACCTCTAAAATATCATCATTTCAATATTTTTCTTATATTTTCTTTCAGAATCAAAGCCATTGTATTGGTTTTTCTCTTGGTGTTACCAACATTCTTCTACTAACAACAGAAACTATTCTTCTCTTTTCTATTCTGTTCAAAGCTTTGTCTTATCTCATTTCGGCTTTATATATTTTTGTTTGACGTTCAACGATTTTCGTTAGAGAACCAATTTTTGCCATATCCCATTTGTATTTTTATATGTCTATTGTTTGTTTGCATTTTGTTGTGATATAATATTTTAATGTTTTTTTATCGTTTGAACATTTGAAGGATGGAAGGAGATGGTTAGATTGATCTTGTCTTATCAGTGTTTTGCATGCATTATCCCTCTTCTTACCCTTGTAGTTTTTTTGAGCCAGTGTCGGTCTGCACACAGTTACTGCCCCGTTGATTGTCCCCGCCCAATGACCGACAGACATTACTAGGCCCTCTGGTGGATTTTCCCCACCTGTACTTTCCTTTACCTATTTTTTCACTATGTTTTCCATGACAAAATCATTTACTGGAAACTTTGTGTGCGTTTGTTTTAAAACGGTCTCTACATGTCCCAGTCTTATGTCACTACTAGCGTGCACAATTCTCCCCTCCTGCTGTTCATTATGGCGGACTAATTGTGTCGATGACATCTTGGATTTGTTTGAATTTCTGTAATACCTGTGTTGTGATATTCTTTTTGATTGTAATAACTGTTTTTCTTTGTTAGTTGCTATCATTAAAATATCACATCCACTTGCAGGTCATGTGCTTTGTCCTCAGCTTACCTAAGTTACTCACTTGGAAATGATAGTGTATATAACCCAATGCTCCCCTAGTAGCAGTAATACTCAAACTCTCACGAAATTAATGTGAAATCAATTCTGTGCCCAGAGTTTCAATTTTTTGGCGTTGGTAACAGTGATGTCACTGTCATTTGTGTGCAAACTTTTATCCGCCACTACTTTTTCTTACCATCGCGCCCAATTTTTTTGGCGCATTGCCTTCATTCCTATAGATTCTAGTATTGTTTTAACAAAACATCAGATTTTAGTATACATGTAATTCTACTCTCTTCAAATTCAATACGTATCAGACCGAGCTCATTCACTATTTAAACGTGATTGAATCGTTTCACCGGTAAAGAATTTTCGTGTCACTTTAGAATTTGTTATAATCGCACATCATCTGTTATCAAATTTCAAATCTTATGTTTGAATCCTTTGTTGTAAACCAACTCCAATTTGCTCCATGGATCTAACGAGAACAACATTCTCAGTTTTGTCCGTTTCATGATTTTTGTTTGTTCATTCAATTTGAAACCCTTGTATGATATTTGAATTATTTGTTGGAACCCAACTCAAAAACGCTCAATAGAACAACTGAGAGCGGTGTTCCCAGATATGACCGTTTCAACTTTTTTGCCAATCTGTATTTTGCCCTGACGTTTCAAACAATTGCGATCATGGAAGACATTTGAAATCTGTAGGAGTTACGCAGCTGTTGCTTCTCGCTTCTTGAGACCCAACACTTGTTCTCTGTTCCCCTTTGCTGCTTTGTCATTATTTGTCATATTCTGTTCCATTTATCCGGACTGAATTTCTCATTACTTGTTATCAGATCCTGTATATTTCACAAGTGATGTCACCTCAATCCATTCTCAAACACCCACCATGACGTCCACAAATAATACCCTGTCCCGTGCCAATCAATACCAGAAGAAATCTGTGGATCAGTTGAATGATTCTATCGTCAACGCAATTGGCAAGGAGGATTATATGGGAGTCAAGATGCCTCTCATGTGTCTCAAAAGCTGTGTCATTATGGTATCCCAAATTGTGATGACGTGTCCTTCTTCCGAAGTATTGGCAGCTGGCGAACAAAGTGCTGGTGACATGCCCCTAACCATCCATCCATTGTTGAACATTTTTTTAAAGGAATGATCCTGTTTCCACATCATCCCATGGAAATTCCCAGTTCATTATCGTCCCAAAGCCCTTGTTTACCAAACATCTGAAAAGGTACAATTTTCCCAAAAGATGGGAAGAGTTTCAGGTTAAATTGGACAAAAAAGGAGTTTCTATTAAGACAACAGCTGCGGACAGGTTGGACAAATCTGAAGACACTGGTAGTCTTGTATCTCATAAAACCATGTCGAAGTACATGAACGCTGTCTGCAGCATCTTCAAATGGTACTTTTGTCATGTCAAACTTCCTCCATCCAAGGATTTAAATGGTGCCTTTTCTTACGACCCAACCCACAAACTTACTCAGTTATGGAGCTGTTCTTTGCCAATCTCTTGGGTAATACGGCCCTCAGGCACTTGGTGGACTCCAAACAGTTTGCTAATATCCTGTATCAAAAGAGGTGGGATATGCTTCTCAAATGTGACGTCAGTCTGTTATCAGGTACCACAGATTCTGTCAATCTCATCACAAGCAAAGAACTCTAAAAATAATCATCTGACTCCATTGGGTGGTTGGCTAAGGTCCTTGTGGCAAAACATAAATTTGCCAAATGGCATCAAGGCATTGACATCACTTTCTCTTGAGCACTGGGTCTGTCATGAATCCGTGTTCTCTCACAAGAAATTCTACATATACTTTCTCCCCAAGTTAGTGGAGCTCAGCTTTGTAGTTCCCAAGGAGAGGAGTCTTGGAAATGGAGTGGACAGTGTTTGTCAAGTGGACGTTGCAAATGTAGTACATGGAACAGTTGTATTCCTGTATAAGGAACCAGTCTTATCCATGCTTCGCAAGTCATCACTGGCAACATCTATGTCACCCATTTCTTGAAACATTGGAGATCCAATGATATTGCTGGGAAACTTCTTTGGACTGTGCTATGGTGGTTTCAATTATTCTCAGGCCTCTCCAAACCTGTCCTTGAATTTCCCTCCATTGCAATACCATATGTCCCTGGTAAATTTTTGCATCATGTTTGGCAATATCTGACTACTATACAGGGCACCATCACTGTTGACACCACAGGGCTGGTGCCACCTCTCTGGCGTGGCAATCACACAATTATGGACCTTGTCCTTGCCAGCATCCCTCAGAATGCCACTAAGATCTCAAAAGGCCATCTTCGCACTCTCCACAGGATCAGTTCAGTTTACATATATCTCAAGATCCAATGGATTGGTGAACTGTGACTTCCTGATACAAGTAAGCTATCCTCTAGCATTTTCTCCCACCAACGTTTGGAATTTTACCATCCTACCACTGCATATGCATATCAGCCCAAGCCTGACAGACTGAGCTGGAATGCCTTTCACAAACTCCTGCGCTGCGTCTCCAGCGGTTCTGCCCCTGACAGGATCCTGACCAAAGCTTACTGCCTTCGCAACTGGCATCCTCCTCATACTAGCCATGGCATATGGAATGCTTATCTGTCTAATGATCATTGCATATGGACTTTGCCACGCCCAGGCAAGTGGCAGTCCCATCATGTTGTACTAACCCAAMTTGGACCCCCACGATCATCAAGTGTCTCTGGTAAATACCCTCCTGGCCAACACGTCCCGGTTCTCACTTGGACATCCCAAACAGATGGCTTTCAATATGATCCTACCAGCGCACATCACATTTGAACTGCCTGCAGCAGGCCCCTCCATCACAAACCTAAGACATGGTCTGCAATATGCTTTGGCAGTGAGAGCTCGCTTTGCGTGGAAGCCACTGGATTGTTATCAGCTACCCTTTTTGTCACTATCCTTGTTTTTCATTTTCACCAATGGTACCATGAACTGAAGCCTGGCTTCCATTCCAAATTTGGCAAGATATCACAATCTCAACTTGATGAGAACAGTACACCGTCTGCAACCAGTACTGACAATACATACTCCGTACACACCTTAGAAAATAATTTGACCAGTTTGACCAAGTTATTTTCTGAGGGAGATCATGCAGAGACACATCGAACCTCCCCATGCCTATCCCCAACACTGTCCCTTCAAAATCACAGATGAGTTAGAAATTTCCAAATTGATTCTCAATTAGGCAATGAAGTGGAACATTTCTCTACTTTTATCAGCAACCTGAATGACATGCATCTCCAGGACCAACATCATCATCTTTCACTTTCACTCTCTTCTGATACAAGTATCTCAGGTTCCTCATCTTCCTCAACTAGGAAACTGACAAAGCAATTCTTATTGCTAGCCTATTTGGTGGTCGAGAAGACTACATAGTATCGTTGTCCTTAGGAGCATCACAAGTGATAGCTTTACCAATTAGAGTGAGGGGTCAGGAACAATGTTGTGAGTTCTTCTAGTTCTTTTTCTGCTTCCTTCTCTTTCATCCATACTACTACCAGAATCAACATCGACAGCTACTAACAAGCCTGGAGGTAAGGGAGGTTGTGCAGCAAATTGCTGTTGGTGAGCTAGTCTGTTGCAACGATTCTCCTCTTGGATCTGATCCACAAGCCGATGCTGCAGTTCTTGTTGCTGCTTTTGC